TAAGATGGTCGGGCGGTATTCATTGGTGCCGCCATGGACGGCGTAACAGTTTGATGCACAGAGGTAATATTCTGAGGAGGTGCTTGATTTCTGAAAGGAGGACCTTGTTGCTGATTCGGCGGAGCGATATTCTGCTGCACTTGATTAGTGTTAGGACTGTCGTTACTCTGCAGTGGACTTAAGGGTATTTGTGCAGCGGTAGCCGCGGTATTGTGAACATTACCGCCCATTTGGGGACTGACTGGTCGTTCCTTTAAATTGTAATTTCGCAAAAGTACTAAATGTCGTGGATCTTTGGCATAATTCTTTGTTTGCGAGGATTGTAAATCACCGCCAGCTTTTTCAAATAATTTATACAATGCCGGAATTTTTCTTGGTGATAATATAGAAATATTAATATTTCTCTGAAAAATTATATATATATAGTGTATATGCACATACATGATGATTACCTCCTTATTACGCATTTACAATTTGTCACTCACCTCTTGATAAATAGTAGCTAATTGTTCAATGGTATGACCAGCGAATTTGTAAGTTTCTTGAATCACGGTTTGATACGGGGGCGAATTACATATTAAAATACAATGTTTTTGTGAAGCTGTATTTGGCTCTCGTCTCAGCTGCAAGTCTTCAAAACATAGTAATCCTGTTGCAAGACCTTCGCCTATGTTTGCAAAAGATTCTCCCTTTCCACCAACCATTCTAGATAAAATATTATTATTGATAAAATAAATTAATAAAAAGGATATATACAATTTTTAAAATAGCAGTGTTAATTATAAAAGGTTTATTTATAAAAAATATTATAATATTAGACACTAAAGATATTATGTGTTCTGTACTCAAGCTTGTCTAGAACCATCAGTAGCTTGTGAGGATTTGAATAAGGTCCTAGAGTCTCAGTGCACGGAGATGGTAAGCAATCAGCAGCATGATAAACGACTATTCCATATAATGTCGTACTGTTCTGTTATATAAATTTAGATTGCAATAAAATAAATTGTAACTTAATTTCCATACATTAAGAAATATAACTGTACATTATATCGTACCTCAGCAACATATTCCCTTTCTTCTATGCCACCTAGACTAAAATATCTATAATAGATAAAGAAAAAACACAAAGTTGACAAACATATCCTTATTCTACATAATATAGAAAGTTAGTATAATGCAGTTAACGCTTGTAATAAAGTTGATGTTTGCAATATATAAATGTAATCAAAGGTAGGATTTTTAATTGATTTATGAAGTGATTTATATATAAATGTATGTTACATATTAAAACTTACTCCAATGTTGGAATAACATAATTTGTTTTAAGATCATTAAGGTATGCGCCGTTAACGGCTGTTCCTTCAATGACGAATATAACATCAGCTTGTATTCCATGTTCAGTTGGTCCAGTCACCATGTTCTAATACACAAAAATCTTGCTTAATTACTTAAATACTATTTAATACAATACACACAGAGTCCCAAATGTAAGTGACCAATGTTCTCCAAAATGAAATAAAAACGAGCATATCTCTAAAATTCTTTACATATCATATCTTTTTAGAGATAAGAAATTTAGAGAATTTTAGAGATAAGATTTTTTTCTTAGTTTATCGATCCCTTATACGCTCCCAAAGTTGACTATTTAAATTCGGAACACCCCGTATATATAAAATCGCAAACTTTTTTCAAAGTTATTTTATTTAACTGTGTTATTTATATTATGTAACTATGATAAAACTTAAAATTAAAATATTTGATATATATTTTGTGTATAGAATATTTCAATAAGATAAACTTAATAAAGATAAGATTAATTGCATACATATTGAAGTTTCACAAGCTAACCTAACCTAGACACGTGCCTTCAAAATTGTGTTACTTGAAAGAATTTTTCTCTCTTTACAAACTTACGTTCAATTAAAATTTACAAGTTCAGGCAAAAAATACGCTTGTTTGCCAGAGCGTTTGTACAAATATGCGTATAAATCATATAAACAAATCTTATTTTCTTTCTTTCTACGTTCACACACAGCTAAACTGAGCTAAACATAAAGTTCGTATCAAACTACTCGTCGGACTATGGTAGGAGAGTGGAGACGATGGAGTAAACTGGAGTAAACGAATCCTCATATGGGCAACAGCGCTTTGAAATCCTGAACGCTGATTGATGAAAAACGGGTGATGGGGGTAAATTTTACTCTTACAACCGACTTTTCATCAATAAAAAGGATAACGGCCATTCTACAATAAGAAGTTAGAAATTGACGACTGTGATTGATCAATTTCCAGCTTCTAATTTCTAATTTATGATTAATATTAGCTTATTGTAGAATGCGTGTTAAGCGAAATGAACGTCGAGTACATACCTATTTACTCGACGAAAAATTAAATATTCTGCATTGATATGTCTACATTATTTTTCTACTCTTGTAACTAATGTTCCGGAAATAGCTCGATTTGCGTAATTCGAGCTCCGAAAAATAAAAAAATTTTTTGAAAAACTAAAGCAAATAAAAAAGCCATAAGAAATAAAAGCAGAAAAAAGCAAATTAATAATAATAAATAATAAGTCAACAAATTAATACCGATGAAAAATATACATAATTCATATAATATAATTATATTATATGTGTAAATTATATGTATAAATTATGTATATTATTCGTCTTTGTCTAATCCACATAATAGTATGGAAAAGAACCATAAAAGTGTGGACATTATCCTATGAGGTTTATGGTACACAAAAAAGGTCGAAATGTCCATTTTCTCTCTGGAAGAGTAGTCCCGCCAGATTCTTTCATTTTATGTAAAAATGCGTCGAATGAGCATAGTTTTATCGAAATCGGAATAGAAACAGTTCTTCTGGATAATTACAGTGTGTCTTCCAACAAATGATATATAGACGTGTGACGCACTTGATCATTACATCCTTGTTGTTTGCCAATGTTAAACAAAGATGAGATGATCACTGGTGTTGTACTGTATCGCTTGGAAGACACACACCATGTATATTTAATCTTGTGCAATTTTGTACTTTTGCCTGAATCATTCTGTTCATACGCGTCTGCCCGCTGCTAATTGCTCAGCTGTTATGAAAGGTTTTTCATTGTTGCGTAAACCGGCGCTGTCAGTTTCGAAATACCTATAACAACTACGTTATCGTAGTTAGTAGATATCGATCAAACTTCCTTCCCTGTAATGACTGAAAGTAATATTTACAGGTACGAAGTATAAGTCCGTTGAGGATGGCAGTTTCGCGACGACATTAGCATTAGAAACAATTCATAGTGTCCGAATTGTGGAGATATATTCATTTGTAACGTTTGTGAAGAATAAGTTGCTGACTAAACATGGTAATTAGTTTGATTTTGATTCAACAAACTTGTATTGCAATCTTTTTAATTCTATTCTTAAAATTACTTTAAATCGAAAATTTTGTCTAGCTTGCTAAAATATTAAAATTATTTTTATTTTAGTAATTTTGAGGAAACTATACAATTTAATCTTACATGTATGCTCGTTTATTTTGAGGCTAAAATTTTCAACAACTCTTCAATAATAAGTCTTTCAACAATTTTTCAATAATGAATTGAATTAGAGATCACTACATAGACTTGTTTCTATCAATGTAGATAATTTTAATCTTAGTTTAATTTATTCTTTATCTTTTTCTAGTTCTTAGAACTAGAAGAAAAAACCTAGAGAACATAAATAGTAACATTCCATTTATAAAATGTTCTATTTAATAATATAACTATCACTATTGTACATTGTACAACATATGTATTATGTCATTTATATTATTGAATAGAAAATTATAATTATGATGTAATACTATTAGTTCGTATCTTGTGGGAAGTAAGTTAAACTGAGATTAAGGTTCATCTATATTGCTATTGACATAAATAAAATAAGTAGAACAGCATTAAAGATACAGTCGAGCTTGGAACTTAGTGCCTAATATTTATATGTGAATTTCAAATACATCTTCCAATTATATATTGTAAATTATGAGTTTCAATTGCTTTGGAAACGCAATTATAATGTCTATTGAGTTATTTGATTAATTCTATTTTTCTTTTCCATAGGCGTCCACATCGAAGAAACAAGCTCACAAGAAGAATATGATAAAGTTTGAATTAACCGAAAAACAGAAATCTGACATAAAGGAAGCATTTGATCTATTCGATCCGGATGGCACTGGAAAAATTAGTATCAAGGATCTTAAAGTTGTTCTTAGAGCCTTAGGATATGAACCGACGGTGAAAGAATTACAGACACTCGTAGCTGATGTCACACCAGAATGTCCTAACTCGTTATCTTATGAAGAATTCATGAAAATAATGTTAATTAAAATGACAGATGTAGAAGAAAGCCAAAGCGAAATAATAAGAGCATTTCGACTTTTCGATGATGATAAAACAGGGAAAATATCCTTTAAAAATATTAAACGAGTTGCGATGGAATTGGAAGAAGAGTTGACTGATGAAGAAATATTTGATATGATCAATCAGGTAGACGAAGATGGCGATGGAGAAATATCATTAGAAGAATTTATAAAACTCTTTAAGAAGATGTCATGTTAACTTTTTATTAAGTTAAATTCATATCTATGTCGAATTAATGCAGAAACATAACGTATTTTTAAACTAATAATGTGTATTGTATTTATATATTCTAAATGGAAGACTGATCTCAACATAATTATCTTTTAGTATACTTGTCAACGATATTTTTATAAACTTTTATTTATTTAGATGTTTAATATGCCACGAGTGTGTGTAAAAATAAATAGTATTAACTATATTCTACGTATGTTAATATTTAATTTATTCTTTTCAAATCCTATGCAGTCCAATTTCAAAAATTTATAATAAAAATGTAACTAAAAAAAAAAATATATATATACTTATAAAATAATTGTATTAATCTTATTATATATCAAATATTATGTATGAAAATATATATAATATTTTATTATATTTAAAGAAATATATTCAAGTATTTATTTCCTCATCTTTTACATTCAGTGTTGAAATAGCGGCGTTGATTACCGATCTAACTAACTTTGCTCTTGTTTTCGCCATTTCCAATCCTTTGGAAAGTAAATTTTGAGAGATTGGAATTCCACCTATATTAAATTTATGATCATTGTTACATGTAACGTATAATTCAATAACCATTAAATCTATTAAATTATGCAAAACCCATTAAAATATGAATAATCTACAGTATTATACTGTATTTTAATATATAATACACACCAGGTTTATGTACATAACAAATTTTTTCCTCATCGTCTATCACAATAGAAAATTTTCCTGATGACAACTCTTCCTCATCATCCGTTGGATCAACTACTAATAATTGTCTGCAAGTAAAGAGATTAATCAAATATGAATTACATGTAAATATCTGTTACACTGAACCAAAACTGACTTTTCAAATACTGCGAATGATGTAGAAATTGGTAATGTTCTTACAGTAAACTTCTTTCTATTTTTCGGATTTACGATAGTTAGTGCTGTCTCTTTAGTATAATTCACCTCAGGTAAAGTCACTGTAAGATAAATTCTTTTATGAAATACAGAAAAGGAATGAAACACAGATATTATTACATATTACAGTAGTATGTACATGTGTAACATACACGTTTTAAGAGCTGCCATCAATGCTCCAGTACAAGCATCTATAACTGAGCCATTGTAATTCAGACACAGGATATCACAGTATAATACCCAAACTAATTTACTTTTACAAATGCAAAGATCTTTTAAGTCAAGTGCCGCTGAGTTACTTAAAATAATATCTATCAATTTAGAGAGCACTTGTGCCTGTTCACTTGGTGGGCCTGGACGAAACTTTGAAGAACAGAGAGGAGATAATTCCACATTTGGTACTATGTAACCGTGATCCGGAGTGTCTGCTTTCGGTGCCGCTAATTCCTAAAATAACAGAATGTGAATCATATCAGTGAAATAAAGTAATTTTCAGTTCAAATAAATAAAGAAAAATAAAAATAGTTTGTTATAAAATACTATATAAATTATTTAAAAAACATCAAACTCTGCCTCTCATATATGTATTTGAAGAGATATCAAAATATAGAATGTTTTCCATTTGGTGACACAAGTAGATGTTTTATTTTTATTTTTACTCGTGATATGTCAAGAAAGATATTACAGAATGATGTTTGTGTCAACTTGTATCATTGAATGGAAAACATCCTTTGTGTAACTCATAGAATCTCAGAAAAGATAGAATAACATTTATGTCATCTTGTGTGATGCTAATACTTGTTTTTTCTAATTTAGATTAACTTTAATATCAATTTAACTCATATTATATCTTTAGCATCTAATTCATAGAACTTCTAAAAAAAAAACGAAGAGAATAAATTAAACAAAGATTAAAATTAATTTATACGAGTAGAATTTATACTAATAGAAATAGATATAAATGGAAAGCATCCATATATAAACATATATAAACAATGTTGTAACTATACTTACAGCTTTAATACCACAAACTGCAGTTGTGTCACCTAATTTAAATATCGCTGAACTGTCTGCCTGAACGATTGATGAGACATTTATACTTACTGGTCGAAATGACAAAAATTTCCTACCATCTGTCCGAACATTTTGTTCCTGCAAACGCCAGATACTTTATAGAAATATTCTGTTATATTTATGTCTTAATTTATTCAATTTGTGTACAATATTTACCAGATGATCCTGCAAATATTTCACAGGATGAATCGTTCTAAAAAAAAAATTAAAATGGATATATTAAAGATTACATCGTTCAAAACAAAATAAACATTAAAGTTCAATCCTACAAATTGTACAAGTTAATTACAGATATTTTTTTGTCAAAAAAAATTATTTTTTTGTACTTATAGAAAAAGGATATGAGATTTTCACTAACATGTACTCTGTAATTTATTTAAAAAAATAAAATATACATACTTGTACTGTAAATCCATTTGTATTAAAATTTTCCGTATTTAACACTATTTGACAGTATCCTTGTTTGATGACACAGGCCACGTAGTAAATTTTGATTTAAAAAAAAGCGTTATAAAAAAACATATATATTTAATTCTACTCAATTCTATAATCGACAATATAGAACACGGTTGAGATTAGTTTCTTCTGGCTCGCATGCATTCAATATAATAGGTTAGTTCGCGTCACATGCTCCAATACGTATGGTGGAAGCATAGTGAAAAGATTACAGGACTGTTTACCAGCTAGAATACAGAAGGTACGTTCGGGAAGACGCTCTTAGCGCTATTTGTGTCATTCTATCTTTGTTTTATATCTAATAAACAACAAAGATAGAATGATAGTAGCGCTATAGCATTACCCCGAACCCAGAGACGTTACACTGTGTTCCATTGTGCAAAGTTGGAACGCAATTAGTTTCATAATGTAACACCAGAATGCATTGTAGTCTTCCATTCATATTCTTATAATCATATTTACAATTTGCAATTTGAATAATGTTGGAACTCTTCTAATTATAAGTAAACTACATTTAATTTAAAATTGTAAAGAAAATTTAAATGAATAAAAACGAATCAATCTGTAGAGGCCCTCCACCACCCCCGCCAATTTTTAACGGCGGTCCTCTTTTCTTTGTAAGTATACTCACCCGTAAAAAAAGAGTTACTAATAAATTTAATCCGTTTTTGCAGGTAAGTATATTTTTAATTTATTTTTTATTTTTATATCTCTCTTTTTCTAATTATTTTATTATATTTCGCTAATCATATTGCATTATGATTAGCGAAATAAAATAAAATAATTAGCAATTATATTGCATTTCTTTTTTAATATTATCTTTTATTGTAATCCTTTACATATTTAATAATACAATAATAATTATTTACAATATAATGTATAATAAAAAATTCTGTTCGAAATATAATAAGAATTATATTATAGGAGCACAATTAACAAAATTTAATGCGGGATTATACGAAAATGTCGAAAATACATACGATAACACAAATTTTTCTAAACGAATGTTTAATGAAATATTGATAAATGCGGAATGAAATACTAACAACAATTAGATCGTATTTATTAACTTGTGATTATATTATAAAACTTATTAATATCGTGATAAAAAGTCATTAATACATTTACGACAGTACTTTCATCGCGTTTAAGATAATTATCCCGATAATTTGATCACATCAAAGTTCCTCTACGTTGTGATAAGGTCAGTATCCGATACAAAGAAGAAAAGAATCGTCATAGAAAAGCGAACTTGATGTATTCTGATTCTAAGTCAAAGTTACAAGATCCATTCGCAAAGAAAAGTTAAGCAATCCGTCAAACACCAGCGGTCTTATTACAGAAGGGTATAAATTCCAAATCTTTCAGACCACTTACGATAGTAATAATTTTGGTAGCATATTAATTACATTTTTATTGCATTTTTAATATAATATCAAAATTTGCGAGGAAATTATATGTTCTGCCACAGAGTATGTTACTACAAATCATCTCTTATTAAAAATAAAAAGATAAAATGATTTCCTTATGGAATGGTGATTACGAAGGAATATATTTAATAATAATAAAATACATGCATTAATTGTAATTTTTTTATATGTATGGATACAAAAGTTTCTCGGGTACCAACTGTTCGGATAAGATCAAACTTGATAATAACGAGATTTTAAAGAACTAAGTATGTACTTTCTGAAAAATTTGTTATTACATATAAAATTTAACAACCTCTTTTTTCTGTATTATCCTAAAATTTTAATTATTAATATCCCGCTAATATAAGGGTATATACCCATTCGACTTATCTCGAATTTTTTGTACCCATACATTTTTAATTAAATTCATGTAATCATATCATTGATAAAAGAACATAAAGTATTTTGGTAAAAATTATCTAAATCGACAAAAATCGAAACTTATTAAATATAATTTCGTAATATATCTGCATGTATTTTATCATAGAAAAGTATATAATATACACATAAATTAATAATTAACAATATTCTGGAATGGCGGGATGTCCAATACCTAAAAATGATTTTAAAATAAAAAATTAAAAGTTAAAAAATTAAATATATACATTCGTAATCATATTTTTGTTAGAGCAATCATCGAAGAATGAGCAAATTATTTGTATAAAACTTGAATTTATTTACTTAACAATTTGGATTTAAACAAATAATCATTATATGTATATCATTATATTATTATGTTATTAAGACAGTACTATTATTAACGTTATTATTACTAGTGGCAGAACATTTAATAAAATAAAGAAAGCGACGAAAATTGTATGTTAAAGTACTACTGAATTAATTTTGCAACTTGATTTTAAAATATATAGCATATAATTGTCATTGACTCATTCACAAAATTATTACTTCTAGTGCAAGAAAATTCGAGATTAATTCCGATTCTGTACAAGAATTTCCAACGAGATACCAAACTAGACTTTGCGAATAAACTTTACAGAAAGTAACGAGGAATAAGTCTCCATATGATGAAAATAATTTCGACTTTCCATCGGTACAAACCACGCATTCACTATAGTATCCACCTGACGCGAGGGACAGCGATGAGACTTTCGAACATAATAAATTAATCATTAATCATATACTTGTAAGTTTGTAATGTTAAAAATATAAATGTTAAAAACAAATAAGAATTTAATATTTAACCTATATTGCCTCAGTCAAAGCTCGAATCTTTATTGACTTATTTAATAAATTAAGTAGACGAAAAATTGACGAATATTCTAAATATCAAATTTTTCATTAAAAATCACTCAAAATTATTAATGACTTTTTGATATTCGCAATAAAATCCAAATTAAAAAAAATTTTTTAATTAAATATCTATTAAATTCATTAAATTAATAAATAATTTTTGTTATCATATAGTTCGTCGATTTCGTACAATTTACATCACTAAAGCAACAATAAATTTGATTTATTACAACAAGATAAATGCTATCTGTATGGAATAGATATATTTAATACAAATACATAAACATTCCAATAAATGTATAATTTAAATTAGTAATTATTGCGCAAATTACAAAAATAAACATGATGGCATTTACCTGGACATAGTTCACATAAATTTTATACTACGTATCTAATATTATTGTACATACATTTATTTACGACAAAATTAATTACAATATTAACGCGTATACATACTTGGTATACGTATAGAATTTTATAAGATATTAAGTTTAATTTCAGGGGAGCTGAAAATTCAATGAAATTTAAAAATATATATAGTTCAGTTTATTTTCATATTTGATAATAGGAACGGGATGCTGATAATTAAATAAAATATTTAAGATTAATTAAAAATTTTATTTAATTTTTAATCTTTTCTTTCCAATTATCAAGTATGTATACATGATATATATATATTCTTACCTACATATTATATAACTGACTAGTTAGATTTGGTATGTAATATTTTATTAGTTTAATTATATTTATTTTTTTAAATAAAATTTAATTACCCGATCGCGAAATTTATTTAAGTGTCATTTTATTTGTAATAATTTAATTTTTAAATTTATCCACATTTATTGTCTCTACCTATTCATATACTTGTCCTACCTACCCGTATTTTCATTTATTCATGCCTATTCGCGTATCCTATCTCTGTCCGTATATTCCTACCTACATTACTTCATTAATGTATAACATTACCGCGAATATAATATGTTAATGGCTGCGTTCAGCAAAGAAAGCAATTTTACAACTGTTGTAAAATTCTTTAATATGATCGGTTCTTGTTTTTGATTCCTTATGGATTTAAATGTATAAATCAATCATTTTGAAAAATTTTACAACAGTTGTAAAGCTGCTTTCTCTGCTGGAGGCAGCAGCTAATGCCTAACCATGTCCTATCGCGTACTGCGATAAATTGATCGCAATAATGTAATCGCGATCATATTAAATAAATGAGCAATGAATCATAATAATTAAAACAGACTTTATATATTTAAAATACAAAAAAATTAACAAATAATAGAGCGAATGAGAGTTAGCGCGAATAATCAAGCACAAGTTTTGTAGATTAAAAAAATCTGTAAAACTTGCGCTTGATTATTCGCGTTAACTCTTATTAGCTATATAGCATCTGTTGTTTGTTAGTTATTTCTGTATTTTAAATAAACAATAATTCAAAAAATGTAAGAACTCGCAATTTGCGAGCAAGTTACCCTCCCGAATATTCAGTTTATCTTCATTACCTTTCAATTTACCTTTCAAACACTTATGGCCGCAGCTCAGACTCTTGCATAACGCATAATGCATAGTGCATAAGGGAATCAATTAATTGAAATTCTTCTTTTTCCATGGAATGGAAGAAAAGGAAAGATTCTGATTAGTTAATTCGCTTATGCACTATGCGTTATGCGTTATGCAAAAGTCTGTGCTGTGGCCTTTAGATTAGGTGTTAAGTCTATCGCACTAACTAAAATGCATAACAAAGCAGAAGCATAACATAGGACTGCTGGACCAATGAACACCCAGCATAATGTCGCTATATTGACTTACATAAGATGCTCATTGGTTTAGCGGTCTTTTGCTAAGATTATACAGCTTATATCATTTTATATGTGATGGCTTATACACGCCAACCTACTTCATATGGACTCTTCTTTCTTCTGGCCAGACTGAACTCACCTTTCGTTGCTCCTGGCCAATATTCTGGCTTCACATGCCAGAAATCGACAACAAGGAGAAATACTCCTTTTTGCTGCCGATTGCTGCCGACTAACATCGCCGGCAATAAGCGTACGATTTTACGCTTTTGTATGATGCGCGGAACACGAACGCGTTGCGAAGGGGCCATAATATCAATGAAATTGATTAAATATTAATAAACAACTATCAATAGTAGTGCTAATAATTCCACTAATGAATAAATTTCGCATCTATTCGCGTTTATTCGAAATTAAAAATATAAATATTCGACTAAAAATAAATCTACATTTAAAAAATCTTTAAATCAACAACGTTTTTTATTTTAAAAATCTTGAATATTATGAAACTATATTAAATTTATTAATTTATTAATTTTTTATAAACATTATAATATAATTAAAAAAATTTTAATTTGAAAATTAACCAAAAATTACTAAACCGATTTCCATCCAACAAAATTCAAGGCCCACGTACATATTTTTAACGATTCGAACGATTCGTTGCTGAATCTCATCTCAAAGCATGCAGAGAGATAAGAAATTCAGATGAATGATGTAAGATCCAAAACGAGATAATTTTCTCTTACATTAATAAATATATCGTTTATATTTTAAATTATTACAATCATTTTCTGTATAATTTC